CTATTTCACCTCAGTTTTTATTCTTGGAATACAATATCCTTTTCTTCCCATTTGCCTCATTTTCATCCTACCTTCTTTCTTTTTCTACATAAAAGCCTAGTGTAATGAAAGGCATTGTTTTGTACTACTAAAATTAGTAAAAAGATCATGTCGGCATAGAATGACAAAGACCCCATATGGCAGCCATTTTATTTAAATCACATCTTTCAAAATACCACATACTCTAGAGGACTTCTAGTATACTCTATCACCAGGTACAATTATTCCAAATTTATTCTCTTATGTAAGGCATTAGAGATTGACTAGCTGCCATGCCAGGACCAAGGGAATTAGAAAAAAATCTGTAATTATCTAGATTGAAAATAAAGCTTCTGAAACAGTTGCAACTCCAAGATGCAACTTAATTCAGATGCTGAAAACTGATGTTGGACCAACGTACTGAGAAACTCCCACATTTAATTCATTTAATTTCTCTGGTTATTGTATAATTTTGACAAGTATTCTTAGAAGTGCTTAGCTTAGCTGATATTTCAGCTTGATTAGTTATAATTGTTTGGATCAGCTGCAAATTTTTTGACCCTGAACTTTTGATACTGTGTTCTTAACTTTTGAGTTTACGTGACACAGAGGATTTTAGTAGAAACAAACAGCTTATGAAATTGCTGTTTTGCTGTGGAGTTTAATATAATGAATGCAAGACCATCCACTATATGGTCAACAAAAGTAAGCACCAAGAAAAGCTGAAATGTTTTAGGCAATCTGATGTTCTCCAAATGCTTTAGCCTCAAATTCTCTTCAGTCTCAATTGCCCAAGCAGTGACAAGGAACTATGGGACTTGTATTTCAAAATATGAGGATGGCATCAGGTTATTTAGATCTGCATTGTTCTGCAAGCATCTTATTCAAGCAAATCTAACCAGTTAAGACCTGGTGATATTAAATTTTCTTCCTCATCAATTGCCCAGGCATCTAGTCATTTGTAGGACAGAAATGTTCTTAACAACAAATGAATATATTGTTAATGTACTCTCCCACTTATGATTTTTAAAAACCAATTTCTCAGTTAATAGTATTCTTTTAATAAGCGAAATCACTTTTTCGGTCTGAGACTATTATCAGGCTGTTTCTCTTTTCACCAGAGGATGAATAATCTTATTCAGCAATTATTGCCAAAACACATTTTCAAATATTGTTAAAGTCTATCTAGAGTTCAGTAAAAAAAGAACTTTCTGCTTTTGAGATTGCATATTCTTTTATCAGTTTTCAAACTTCATATGGCTTTAAAATGTAGCATATTAAGTATATATTTTGATGACCTCCACAGTACTTTTCTAGCCCGAATGCAAACCAGAACCTGAACCTTGTCTAATCTTGTCTTAAAAATGATGGAACACCACAACTTATGAAGGCAAACTGTTCCACTGTTTAATAGTTCTCACTGTCAGGAAATTTCCCCTTATTTCTAGGTTGGTTCTCATCTTGATTAGTTGCCATCCATTACTTCTTGTCTTAAAAACTAGGTTGACTGCCTCTTCATTGTGGCTGTCCCTAAGGTATTGGAACACTGCTATCATGTCACCTTAGTCCTCTTCATTAAACTAGATATACCCAATTCCTGCAACCGTTCTTCATATGTTTTAATCTCCAGTCCCCTAATCATCTTTGGTGCTCTTCTCTGCACTCCATTTTACAGAGTCTCAACATCTTTTATGAATGAAGGCAAATATATGTGTCCTAGGATAATGTCGCATGATCCAATCTGGGTCCGTCACTGGGGCCAAAGGTTTAATCTTCCAAGATTAAATGGATGCTCTTTATTAAACATTTTTCCAAAACTTAACAATGATATGATGATAGGACAGAAATGTGGCCCTTTATCATCATATCATTGTTAAGTTTTGGAAAAATGTTTAATAAAGAGCATCCAAAAATCCAAGGTCCAACCATCTAGAAACAATGATCATCAAATAATATTTTTTTTTACAAAATGCAAGATTATGCAGAACATCTAAATGGAAAACCAAATTCTAGTTCTTCAGCTGCATTTTTTAAAAGGAGGTAATGAACTGTGAAAACATTCATACATCCAAGCAATATTATACCTTAGGGAAGAAATAATTGACTATACATGCAAAACAACTGCTGAAAATTTACACGAAACTTACTCATGATTATAATAAAAATGATGTTGCCTTTTCCAAATTGATTCTTTTCAAACGTGTTCCGTCTGTAGAGGTTGTCTTTGTTTCTGATTGGAATGTTTTTATCCCGTTACTGTATGTTTAATAGACATGTTTTATGTATTCAACTTTTTGTCGTTATTTCAGAAAGAATTGAATATAAAGTAGCAAATAAAACTTCTACATCAATTTGTGTAGTCATCCATTTATGTATTTGGCACATTAAAATGTATTTAGGTACAGCAAAGCAATATGTATTGTCAACTTCAGTAATTATATTTTACTTATATACAGTATCACAGTTATATCCTGCCACAGTCATATACAGACTCTCATTAGTAATCATATTATTGGAATAACACCTTTAATTTTCAGAAAGAAAAAGTAATCTGTAAGTAGCAAGAGCAATCATGAAATTACATGATGACATTACAATACTTGAAAAGTTGTCAGTTCATAGCATTATCAAATCTTAAAATAAACCAAGTATTTGCGTTTTTTAAAAGAAGTATCCAATTATTTAAATCTAGTTTTACAGAAAAACATTTACCTTCCACCATTGTTTTACTTTTAGTCCTACAAATTGCAGTTTAAAAAATCCAGATATCTTTTTGTTGCCCAAGATAACAAATTCATGGATACCTTCATACAAATTATGGTCAAATATTTAGAACATTTACTAGTGACAATTAAAATATCAATTATTGAATTATACAGAGCAATGAAATAAGCAATTCCCTGCTGTCATGAATTACATTTTTAATATTGCTTAAAGCTTTTTAAAATAGTTTCATGGAACATTGTTTTTTTATATAACTAGAGCAAGATTATTGTATGTAGAAAGATGGAAAGATTTGGCAAGCTTATTACAGGAGCAGTTGGGGAACATGACAGAAGTTGCTGAGATGGCTAAATTGACCTGTTTGATTAGAGAAAAGATATTTGATGAGTGGAAACTCCTTATGCACTTTTTGCATTAAAATGGGAAAAAATGAACTTATGTTCTATGGTTTTGACAATTAGGACAGATTATAGAAAGAAGAATCATGATACAACTTTAGAGAAAGAAAGAAAACTACAATTGTACTTACAACTACTGCAAAGATCAGAAGCCATTTTTTTCTATTCTAATTTTCATCCAGCTTTTTTTTCTTTTTGCACTTTAGGTTTGTCTTTTATTTATTCCTTTTTTCCTCCTTCTTTTAGTTTGTATTAATTTTTACTCATTTTTAAAACTTTCAATAACTTTATATTTTAGAAAAGTTACAATTTCAAATGTAATGCTGTTCATTTGTCCTAGTGTCAGGGGACAATCACTTAAATACGAGCCGGCAGTGTGCTGTAGCCACCAAAAAAATCCAATGCAGTTCTAGGCTACATTAATAAAAGGATAGAATCAGGATCAATCATGTGAAGTTTAGTACCATATATAATGCCTTAGTAAGACCACTCTTGGAATATTGCATCCAGTTTTTGTTGCCATCATATAAAAAAGATGTTGCATCCAATGTGGGTTGGTCACCTGGACCATAGGTTTAATCTTCTGAGCTTTCAGATAAATGACAAGTTCCGGAAGAGAGAAGTTCCCTGAGGATGGGTTCCAGCGGGAGTCTGAAAGCTTGGAAGATTAAACCTTTGGCCCCAGTGACTGACCCAGATTGGATCATGCGACATTATCCTAGGACACATATATTTGCCTTCATTCATAAAAGATGTTGAGACTCTGTAAAATGGAGTGCAGAGAAGAGCAGCAAAGATGATTAGGGGACTGGAGACTAAAACATATGAAGAACGGTTGCAGGAATTGGGTATATCTAGTTTAATGAAGAGGACTAAGGTGACATGATAGCAGTGTTCCAATACCTTAGGGACAGCCACAATGAAGAGGCGGTCAACCTAGTTTTTAAAACACCTGAAGACAAGAAGTAATGGATGGCAACTAATCAAGATGAGAACCAACCTAGAAATAAGGGGAAATTTCCTGACAGTGAGAACTATTAAACAGTGGAACAGTTTGCCTTCATAAGTTGTGGTGTTCCATCATTTTTAAGACGAGATTAGACAACCATATGTCTGAAATGCTTGAGCAGGGAATTGGACTAGAAGACCTCCAAGGCTCCTTCTAACTCTTTTATTTCAAAACAATTCTACCAGCCTTTAAAAGAACACCCCAACATTTGACATTGGGTTAATTATAATATATTGTAATGATCAACTCAAGGCTCTCTTGTATGAAAATGATTTTCTAAATCCATGTTAATTCAGTGTTAGGGCTTTTGCAGAACAGAAATCATCTTGGTCACTCCATCGGATAATCTGTAGCAGGAAAATGATGGGGAGAATACAACTTTTTTGGTCCTCCCAGATCTCCCAGTCTCTTTTGATACTATCAACTGTGGTTACCTGGATAGAGTGTCAGTGTTGGGTTACGGGGATACTGTAAAATGGTGATTCTGCTCCCACTAGGAAGGCTACTTCGAAAACATGGCCTTTGGGTGTATTCTTCTGTCTCATTGGGATTGGGTGACATGGTGTGTCCTTCAGGAATCCATTTTATTGCCCATGCTCTTTAACACATACATGAAGCCATTGAGAAAAGTAATTCAGGGATGTGGGCTAAACTCTGTCAACATGCAGCAAATGGGAAATGGGCCTAGGATAAGTGTCAATATTTTACCAAGGGAGCATGAATAGGTGCTGGAAATTAGGTATTTGTCTTTCAGGTACTGAATTCTGCAAGGCAGGCAAATCCAGGGTAACTTACAACAGACCTTCCAAACTTCTTGCTGGCAACATCAATAAGATGGAATCATTTGGTACTTTTTTTTTCTTTGTATACAGACACAAGAAATTTTTTATTTCTTGCATGAGGTTTTATATTCTGCTGTTTCATACCTGTACAACAATTTAATAAATCAATGATCCATAATACAGCCAAGAACCATACAACACAATACATAAACATTTTAAGATGAAGTTATTTAGATCTAGATTTGCTCTCAATTAATCCTCCCTATGACCTACTGTTTAACATATATATTAACCTCTATCTGCCATTATTTCCTTTTTTTCTTACGACGTTCAATAGATCTTATATAAACAATGAAGACCACTGACAATTTTTTGCCCATTATAAATCCTCCCTATCTCAAATCATTTAAGGATAATTAGTATTTTATTTTACACAATGAAATATTTGGATCCACAGCAATATTCTTATTAACAAAATTGAAATTATTTTGAGTGTTTATCATTTCCATACTGAAAACTCTTTAAAAATGATACAGCTATACAATAAAGAAAATAGAATATAAGCAATGGCAAAGATGGAAAAGTTTGGTACAGACACAAACCTCCATCTACTTATTTTTGTAAAAGAAGCCTAAATAATTCATTAAACAGAATCAGACAAATTTTAAATAGGAAGAAACTGGAGACTATGTGAGTGTTCTTAATTTTAAGAGCAGCATTGTAGCATCATGCGATTAAATGATAGACATGAAGATATAAAAGAAAAAATATTAGCATTTGAAAACAAAATAGAAAAAGGAAGCATTATGTAGGATGGTATTAAAACAATCTAATTCTGAATTTCTGATAAAAAGAGGAATGCACTTCTTTAAAGTTGGTTTTAAGATGCTGTCCTGATGCGCCGCCCCTAGGTATATATTTCATTTTCTTTCCCAAAACAGAGTGTCCCATTATTACTTCTTAATACTGGGTTTACTCCGACATGTAGAAGCGATACATAAGAGCCACAATGATAGCTGCTATTGCTGGAATCACCCAGTTGGTCCATGAACTGGAAAACAAACAAACCCAAAACATTATTTTCATACTATATCCACTATTTACAAAATGTTTCAGAAGATATATTCATTTACAGGTTGTCCTCATTTAACCACTGGGTACTTAATGACCATTTTAAGTTACAATAGTCTCAAAGCAAGTTACTTATGACCTTCAAAGTTACAACTGCCACACTATCTCCCGCATTTCAAGTGCTTGGCAACCGTTCACTTTATGACTGCAGAATCCAATGGTCAAGTGACCTTGATCTGCAACTTTTCTTTTTTCTGTTTTCCAGCAGAAAATGGCAAAAAATACAGAGATGCTGGATTTGCTTAACTGGATTTATTTAATGACCATGTGTTCACTTAATGACCCTGGTGACTTGCTTTACAACCATCATAAAACAGTCATAATAGCAAGACAGATCATACAGTGACCTGCTTAATAACTGCAATGACTTGCAACCCAAATTATGGGCCCAATTGCAGTAGTTAAGCAAGGACTACCTGTATTTTCAACACAGAAAGAAATTAACTTGTTGCCACATGGTTAGGCAAGCAGTGAGACAATCTCTTTGATAGTAAAATAAATGCTTTATACAACGATGATTGAGTAAACATAATTAAGACTGCCTGTGTGTGTCCCAAGAGAAAGCAGCCTTCTTGAGTTGAACTATACAGACGGAATATGTGCCATAGCCGAACCTCTAAGCATAATCTTTGAAAAATCTTTCAGGACCAGCTCCTTGCCAAAACTATGGTCACAAGCCACGGTCATCCCCATCTTCAAAAAGGGAGACCCCAGCCTAGTTGAAAATTACAGACCAATCTCTTTATGCTGCATCACCTGTAAAGCCATGGAATCAATTATTAACCAGCCCATCATCCTCCACTTAGAAACAAACAACCTACTCTCTAATAAACAATTTGGTTTCAGGAAAAAACTATCATGTAATCTGCAACTCTTACACTGCAAAAATATATGGATTACACAACTCGATAAGGGCAAAGCAATAGACGCAATCTACATAGACTTCTGTAAAGCCTTTGATTCACTGGTACACGACAAACTACTCCTAAAACTAAAATCTTATGGTATCTCTGGACACCTGCATAACTGGATAGAAGCATTCCTGTCAAACAGACAACAAATGGTCAAAAGTGGGAGCGTCCTATCAAATTCTGTACCTGTCAACAGTGGTGTCCCCCAAGGCAGTGTTTTAAGACCAATTCTTTTCATACTCTACATAAATGACCGCTGTGATCATATCAAGAGCAACTGCGTTCTCTTTGCTGATGATGTAAAGCTATTTAACACCACAGAAAATACTGCTACCCTTCAAAAAGACCTTGACTATGTATCAGAACGGTCAAACAAATGGCAACTTCAAATCTCAACAAATAAATGCTCTGTCTTACATATTGGCAAAAAAAATCAGAAAATAAAATACAGGCTGAATAGTCAAGACCTTGTTGATGATCCAAACTCTGTCAAGGATCTTGAAGTACTCATCTCTAATGACCTAAGTGCTAGAGCCCATTGTAACTACATAGCCAAAAAGGCATTAAGAGTTGTTAACCTAATCTTACGTAGCTTTTTCTCTGGTAATATTACACTAATAGCTAGAGCATACAAAACATTTGCTAGACCAATACTTGAAAGTTCATCAGTCTGGAACCCACATTACGTATCTGATATTAACACAGTTGAGAAAGTCCAGACATATTTCACGAAGAGTTCTCCACTCCTCTACCCGTTGCAGAATACCTTATGCCACCAGATTCGAAATTCTAGACCTAGAAAACCTAGAACTATGCCGCTTTCGGTCTGATCTAAGTATAATGTATAAAATCATGCATTGCAATGTCCTACCTGTCAATGAATACTTCAACTTCAACCATAACAACACAAGAGCAAACAATACCGTGTTTCTCATAAGGCCAGGTCTTATTTTTTTTTGAGCCCCCCCAAAATGGCTAGGACGTCTTTTCGGGGGTGAATTAATTTCTTTCCCCCCCCTGGCACCCTGGCTTAGGGCGTCCCATGGGCAGCTATGCCTCGCCACCAGCCACTCCTAACAGACAATCATGGCGGAGCGTGGACGGCTCCCTACCCCTGCCAAGTGTCTTTGCAGACCCGGGTCAGCGGGCGGGCAGCGGGGATGTCCGCCGGCAGCATTTCAGCTGCTTCTCAGGCCTCCATAGATTCCACAGTTCCTGCTGCTGCTGGCACCTCTCTCGCCAGTGCTGTCTCCAACAACAGCATCTGAGTTGCTCCCGCTTTTCCCCCATTCCCGTAACAACAGGAAAAAAATTTTTTTGAGGTACCTAGGAGCGCCGCGCACTGCATTTTGGTTTAACCCCGAGCGGCTGGGTGGGCATGAGAAGAGCCGAGCGAGCATCTCTGCTGCTGCTACCCTTGGTGCTCCAAAAGTCCCAGTGCGCAGCCCGTTCCTGCATTCCAAGCGCGTCCAGGCCCAGCTGCAGCTGTCCCTCTTGCCAGCAGCATCTCCAACAGCAGCGGCAGCAGCGGCGGGAACCATGGAAGCGTTTCAGCCTCTTCTCAGGTGGGGGAGCCATCTCCGTAACTTCCACAGTTCCCACCGCTGCTGCCGCTGTTATTGGAGACGGCGCTGGCGAGAGAGGGACAGCTGCAGCTCGGCTTGGGCGCACTTGGAATGCAGGAATGGGCTGCACACCGGGACTTTTGCAAACTTGCAGAGCCCAAGGCTGGAGCACCAAAGGTAGCAGCAGCAGAGATGCTCACTCGGCTCTTCTCATGCCCACCCAGCGCTCCGAATTAAATCAAAACACAGCGTGCGGCGCTCCCAGGTACCTCAAAAAATTTTTTTCCTGTTGTTACGGGAATGGGGGAAAAGCGGGAGCAACTCAGATGCTGTTGTTGGAGACAGCACTGGCGAGAGAGGCGTGAGCACCAGTGGGAATCGTGGAAGCTACGGAGGCGTGAGAAGCGGCTGAAACTCTGTCAGTGGACATCCACACTGCCGCCTGCCTGATGACATGGGTCTGCAGCAAAGGTGCTTGGTGGGGGTAGGGAGTGCTCCACCATAATCGGCTGTTAGGAGCGGCTGATGGCAAGGCGTAGCACTCCTAATGGCAAGTTCCCTCCGCCTCCCCCCCCCCCCCAAATTTTGCATGTTTTAAAATAGGTCTAAATTTGGGCGGAGGGGCTTAATTTCATTTTATGCCTAGAAAACATGCTGGGTCTTCCTATTGGGTGGGGGCGTATTGTTGGAAAAACACGGTAGATACAACCTCAAGGACCAAACTTGATTGCACCAAACTTGATTGTAGGAAATACGACTTCAGCAACAGAGTGGTCAATGTCTGGAATACTCTACCTGACTCTGTGGTTTCTTCCCCAAACCCCAAAAACTTTAACCTTAGACTATCTACTATTGACCTCACCCCTTTCCTAAGAGGTCTGTGCATAAACACACCAACGTGCCTACCGTCCCTGTCCTATTGTTTCTTTTATTTTTTATTTTTCTTATATGTATCCATGTATTCATAACTACGTTTTTACTTATACCTATTATCTTGTAAGCAACTGACAAAAATAAATAAATAAATAAATATATCATGGTCGTAAATGAAATGCAAAATAATAACAGTTCTGTTTTTTTAGTTAAAGGTGACCACAAATGTATTCTTAGATATAGCCTGATTTAAGAGATGTCTTCTGTTTAACAATCTGAGCTGTTCAGGAAGATATAAGCCCAATGAATTCTTTTGTACTCTTACAACTGTATACCTCTCAAAGCATATCCAACATAAATAGGAGATTCCAAAAGAATTAGTGAAAGCTTCAGGAGGAATGATCAATAGTCATTCCTGGACTGCAGCCATAAAGGATACTTAAAGCATGCTAGCTTTAAGTATCCTTCCTAGTTTTCCAAATATGATGATATGTTATACTAGATGAACCATTTGCTATGGGAACTAACTTACTTACATAATAAAAGCATTTATACTTAAGAAATTAAGATAAATTATTACATATGAATTATTATAGAGAAATTCCCATTTGTTAGCAAAAAGCAATTCTGCTCACCCATTATTATCCCAATCTATTCTTAATAGAACTCATGCTAGATTAAAAAAAATATTAGAACACAGTACTATCAAATTGCAAATTGAATAAAAAATGTACCTGGCATTAGATTCAACAGTGGTAATATAAGGGTCCTGAAAGACAAAAACATTTAGTTACAGACCTTAAATGATTTCTAAGTTTTTCCTTCGTAATAGAAAAAGAGCTCATACAATGACAGATCATTTTTCTGCTAGGATTCTTCAAACTAGCCCCAGGTTTACTATTGTACCCTTGTCCTATCTATTTTGAGATATCATTAAATATTGGTGCTCCCTTGTTAGTTAGAATTGTTAGAATACTGGTTCATTTAATTCTAGAGTATTTTAAATGGGATCCAAACTCCGCACAAACGAATTAATTGTATGAATTACCCAGTGTTTTTAGGAATTCCATTTGGAGCATTTTTACTCATGAAATTGGTCACACAATTCTCCAAACATTCAATTTGTTGTCTGTTGAGTTAGATAAATGATTAACATTAAGTACTACATGTGCATTCCATTTTTCTTCAGAATGGAAAAAGCTGGTAGAGGCACTATAAAGAATGCTTGCCAATAAAGATTAATTGTCCAACTTTTATTACAAAGTTTAAGCGTTCACAAGGACCCAACCCACCCACTTTTTTTTGCTCATAAAACATAGATAATAAAACATTTTTCTATATATATGAACATCTTGGAGACTACTCAGTATTGACTTTACTTTATTGCTGAAAACTGGGGAATGTGTACATAGATAGATAGAATAGATAGAATACTTTATTGGCCAAGTGTGATTGGACACACAAGGAATTTGTCTTGGTGTAAATACTCTCACTATACATTAATTCAAATAATTTGAACATGCCTACTATTACCATGTTTTGGTTTGAAATCTCAATTTTCAACTGATGCATATGTTATTGGTTTGATTAAGGCATAAGGAATTATGATTCTTCATACAAACCCACTAGCCAACCACTTTTTCTGGGACAAGTTCTATTGTTACTTTAACCTTACCTGAACAACAAGATTCAGTAAATATACCTTAATATGCACAATATTTTTTTTACACTTTGCTCAACATTGTTAACTCCAAAAGGGTATACAGTCCAATGGGCAGTTGGCTTTGACTAATTTTTACTGAAACATACTACCTATTCTAATCGTCTACCTGGTATAACATACTACCTATTCTAATCGTCTACCTGGTATAATTTAGAGGGAAATCACTCTGACAATATCACCTCTACAAAGTTTGAAGTACAGAAACCAGGAGACTGTGAATTAGGCAAGCTGGGTGACTTTGAACCAGTCACTTCCTCTTATCCTTAAGCAGACATTTTGGCAAGCCATTTCTGAGAAACCTTAGCAAGAAAACTGCAGGGACCAGTCCAGGCAGTTACCAAGAATCCATAAAAAAAAAAAAAAAATCAGCCTGTGTTCCTAAAGTTTAGGGTTTCTCCATAATACCTCCAAATAAATGATTTGTGGTATAATCTTTGATGGTGCCCTGCTCAAGGTTCTCTGGGGCTACCAGTATTAGCTAATAGACCAACTGTAGTTAATTCACATCATTGCGTAATACAAGACTGACTCACTGAGACAATGTTAAGACCATACATACTGATTAACAATCTAGTGACTATCCCATAGATTGCATTAAAGAATATCTGTTCAAGTATTGATATTTACCTAAACTCTCGGAAATAATCCCACCAGTATAATGAATAGCTCTTCTCATCATATAGGATGCTCCTATTTAAACCTTTGTGCATTCCACCCATATCCCAACACTCAAAAAACTGAGATAAAGAGATATTGCATTAGAAAATGTTTGACTGGGCTGAAGATGAATAAAACTACAGTTCTGTCAACCTCTCCAAAATCTGGGATTCCTTTAAGAAAATGTAGCTGTAGGTGTGTTTAGTGTTTATTTAAAATGTTATGAAGTGGGATTTGAAAGAGAAATGTTTACCGTTGGTTTTTCAACTTTTTCCCAATCATCCTGAAAGATATAAGACATTTTATTTTGTTAGAAATATATATATATATCTAATCCATTCATGAAAAACTCTTGGTTACCTCCTCAAGAGATAAATCATTATCTTTCCTTTAAAAAAATAGACAAGTGTTTACAGCACAGCAACTGAGCATAGCACAGCTTGAACTGCAGCAATGACAGAATGATATGCAAGGTGGTATTAAAAGAATTAACATATACAATATCATGGTGAAATACAAAGCTGTACTTTTCCACGGAGAACCATTAATCAGCAGGAGAGCCCATTTACAAAGAATGTAGAATAAGAAATCAAAATATATATCAGTTTTATGTATGTTAATTAATAATTTTATTTACATTTTCATGGAGGAGCCCTGCAATTTTGAAATGAACAGAACACAGTATTGAACCAAAAGATTAATAAACCTAACATAGCATTAGCAATAGGAAGACATTGCTCATTAATAATGTCCCTTTTTTCTTTCCTGTGTCAGGTTGCTCTTTTATTTGAATTTATAATATTTCATAATATGTTTTGAATGTAAAAGTACAATATAGAAATATATTATAAAATATACTTCAATTATTGCACTTTAGTTAAAATACATTATCCAATTGTGCCAGTTTTCACATCCTGCAAATTACTTTGAATAATTATTGTAATTCCTGATAACAGGCTATACAGTGACTGGCTAATACAAAAATATCTTGAGGAATCTAGGTTACAGAAGAATGTTTTTAACAATCCTAACTTAAGAGCTTTTACAAAAATATGAAAACTACAGGTAGTCCTCGACTTACGACAACAACTGAGCCCAAAATTACTGTTGCTAAGTGATACAATTCTTAAGGGAATTTACAACTTTTTTGTCTTACCTTGTTAAATGAATCTGGCCTCCCCATTGACTTTGCTTGCCAGAAGTTTGCAAAAGGTGATCACATGACCCCAGGACACTGCAACCATCATAAATATGAATCTGTTGCAAAGTGTCTGAATTTTGATCACGTGATTATGCAACAGTCGTAAATATGAAAAATGGTCATGTCGCTTTTTTCAGTGCCGCTGTAAATTTGAACGGTCACTAAATGAACTGTTGTAAGTCGAGACCCACCTGTATAAGAACATGTAATATCCATGCTTTTTGTACTTACTGGATGAAGCTCCCCTATAATAAACGTTTCTGACAATGCCCGGGCATCTGTAGAATGTCCAACATCTTCAAAACTTTCTGTTGCATCTCCACCTGCTTGTTCCCTTAGGACTTCTTCTCCACCAGGATGCTGTTCAATAGAAGAAAGCATGAAGGCTTCAATGTATATACTTTAGAATCAATAAACGTTGCTGTAACTTGCACTATGCAAACTGATCTATTTAGAGTATAATTTAGCATCCTAGTATTTTTAATGTACAATCTGAAAATAAAGTTCATTTTTCCTGTTCACTAATTGACTTTGATCTTTCTTCTTGGTTCAATACCATAGCATAACTCCTATAATTGAAGTTAAACGTCCGTTTAACCAAGCCATTATTTAGTCACCAGATTTATTCATTCAATTTATGTCCACTGAAATTAAGGAGAATGTTGGTGGTTTGCAATTCATCCATAAAGAACAAAATAAAATCTCCGCAGTCCAATAAATAAAAATAGCAATAACAAGATAAGGCAACATAATAAAGCCTCCATAATACATAGATAAAATGAAGATAATCAGACAGCAGTTAATACATAAGCAATTACAAAGCAAATAAAATAAATCACAATACTTCAAATTTCTAGTGCTCTATTGAATAATTCTGCTTTTAATAACTTGCAGAAAATTAGCAACATGGAAGCTGATAAAATTTTCAGGGTGAAATTATTCTAGAGCAGGGGTAAAGCAACAGAAAAACAGTTTCTGTGTGCTCTGTCTCCTTTATTTCAAAGAGAAGTAAATTGGCAATCTCTCATTAACAGATCTTTCCTAGTGCATATTAGTTAGCAGGCCCCCAAACTGTACTTAAAAATCATCCTGCAACTATCTCAGTATCAAGCCACAGAGAGCTTAAATGTTAAAACTAATGTACTGAACTATTGAGTATTTGGAAGCATATGAAGAGGTAGGATCCAGAGGACAGAATTCACATACTCAAGCTGACCTGTACCAGCAAACAAATAGATGTAGGTCAACACTATTTTCCAGATGAGTCTTCAAAGTCAGTTCGATATAAAATGTAAATAAAATATATAAAATAAAATGTAGTTAAAATATTCCCGGAGAAATTCTTAAGCAATTCTTACAGTATGATCCACTGTCTGTTTCCAGTATTCATCAAAAATACATTTGCTGATAACAATATTCCTGGCAAGAAATCAAAATTACATGTTCATAAACAGCTCAACAGAGCAGGGGTGAGGTGGGGCGGGACTGTCTTGGCTCAGCAAATGTGTATCTGCTGTATAAATGGCCATCCATTAGCTCAGGGTAGGAATTATGTACCTATTTTATATAAAGACAAATATATTTGAGTTGTTGCTGTATGTAAGAGTTAAGACTTAGTTTCTTAGGGCAGCAATAAAGTAACCCAACTACAAAGTCAAAAAGAGCAAGGCAAAAAAAGTATATTAAACTATGTGAAGAGTAGAAATTAAGCCAAATGAATGAAAGTTCAAAATTATACCAACACACCATCTCTACGTTCCATCATAATCTAATTTTACCAGCTGGCTTGCTTGTTCTTTTTCTATACTAGCATTACGGAAGCTTCTTGGAACAAAGTCCCATTTCTTTATAGAAAAACAGCCAACCACATACAGGTAATCCTCAGTTAACAATCATTCAGATTGGAATTTCAGTACTAAATAATAAAGGACAATGACATGTAACTACATCACTTACCGACCAAAATGCTGGCAGTTCCCATTGTTGTCATTAACCAAATCCCACTGGTTGTTAGACCCAGCTTGATCCAAGTCATTCCCAGCTTGGTCCCTCCCAGCTCAGAGCCTCAGTAAGGTAAGTGTCTGCTTTCTATTGAACTCCACTCACCTGCTGCATATCCCCGCCAGCAGCTGCTTCCACTGCCCAGTTTTGCCCCTTACACTGCTGTACCAGCTAGAGGCTTCTTGTGCCAGTGCAGCAGAGGTTTCTCTTGTGCTTCACCTAGGCTTCTGTTTGTACACCAGACAGGACCTCTACTTGTGGTCCATCCCAGGCCTTCTGCGAAAGAAGCTTGATGCACAAAAGACGATCCTGGCTAGAAAAGTTCTGCAGTCGAGCATCCTGGGCATTTTTCCATAACAGGCATATTTTACAAAAGAAGGACGCAAATATAGGCCCTGGTTGGTACACAGAGGCCCTGAATGGAGCACGAAGCCCCCTATGCACCAGTGTGAATGGAGAACAACAGCTTCAGCTCAACCCTAGTGAGAACAAGTGGTGCCAGATTTCAGGATCCCCTGCTTTTGAGGATTTTCCATCTCTTGTTATAGGTGGAGTTGCACTGTCCCAGAGAGATCCTGTGAATTATCTGGGAGTCTTCCCTGACTCATGGCTCCTGCTTTGCACAGCTTTGCATTGTGCTCTGATTAGTGTTACTCATGCCTTAAGTCACTTGCCAACTGGATTACTACAATGTGCTCTACATGAAGCTGCCCTTGAAGAGTATTTGGAAATGTCAGCTGGTGCAAAAGGCAGGAGGAGGACAGTATTAGGGGACCCCTCTGCTCTGCAGCACTGCATCTGTATGTTCCAGACTGCAATCTAAGCCCTTCATGATCTGAAGCCAGGTTTCTTATGGGACTGTCCCTGCCTAGTGATATCTACTGTTGCACTGTATTTTTCTAGATCATAAGAGGCATCTAGAGGACAACTCCTAGAATATATTAATTGTTTATCTGAATTATAGCTTTCCTTTTGCTCCAATGAATCTAAGCCGGCATGAACAATGGCCACAATGATGGAAAATGCAGGAGATATATCAGGACAAATCAGGAGAGTAACTGTCATAAGCAAAGCCATCTCACCAATGTCAATCTAGGACTGTGCAATCAAAGGTGGGAAATTCTTTGAAGGAGATGGGTGGTTCATAAATGTGAACAACAAAGAAAGTGTAGTGCAAGACCTTTGTATTGGTATATATCATAGTTAAAAATCTCTCATCACTCATGAAATCCCACCTGCATTGCCCTCTCCAAATGTTTAAGTACAATCTTTGCCTATTGGAAAACTATTTGGTTCTGAATATTGCTCTAATCCAACTTTCAAGTATAGGAAAATCTTCCAATATAAATAAGTACCGTGTTTCTCACAAAATAAGGTCGAGCCTTTTTTTTTTTT